AACTCCTGGGCTCAAGCGATCCTCCTGCCTCAGCCTCCCGAGTAGCTGGGACTACAGGCATGCGCCACCACGCCTGGCTCATTTTTTCTATATATATTAGTTGGCCAATTGATTTCTATTTATAGTAGAGACGGGGTCTCGCTCTTGCTCAGGCTGGTCTTGAACTCCTGACCTTGAGCGATCCTCCTGCCTCGGCCTCCCAGAGTGCTAGCATGACAGGCGTGAGCCACCGCGCCCGGCCTCAACATGTGAATTTTAGAACACACGTGTTCGGACAATAGCAGGCAGGAGACAAATATCTCCACTCCCACTGCCTGGGCCAGTAGAGAAGAGCATGGGTTGTCCCCGCCCCCCTTCCATGACCCGACTTTCCGATGACGGAGCTGTGAAGGAAGGTGACAGGCAGATCAGTGTCCATCTTTGCTGCAGTAGAGCGTGGGCAAGGGCTGGGATGAACAGAGAACCTCCCCGGGCCTTCCTACTTCTGCGTCTTCCTTGTCCCCAAACCTGGTCCTCTTTGGGGACTTCTGTAGTCAAACCTGGCCATGCTAGGCTATGTTGGAACCTAACAAACCATTGTAACAGCATCTACGTTTTGTTTTGTTTTGTTTTGTTTAATTTTTATTTTATATTTTTCTTTCTGTTTTTTAGTTTAAAAAAGAACAATAGCCTATAAAACACCTGTGTTTCTAAAGTGTTCAACCTTTGCAATTCATATTTTATCTTCACAAGGCTGAGGTGCATGTAGGCCTATAATTATTTTAATAGACTTCGATTGTAACCTCAAATTACCTATACATGAGCATTTTTGCCTTAGCTCAAGTATAGCTAGGAGATAAGCACATGCCACCTGATTAGTAATGGTGGCTAATATTTTGATATATTTATTTTTGATCTATTTATTGTAAGAGATTGTTCTACTATGTTGTATGACCTAGGCTTAGGTCTCAAACATCCTCCTCTCAATGAATTATCTCTTCACTAATGCCTTATGATCTTTCCAAAGTGCTGGGATTTGAATGTGCTGTTAATGACTATGAAGTTCCACTTGACATAATGTTAACATATTGTCCAAATAAATAGTTTTTGGAATATATCTGGATATTCCTAAATATTGATATAAAATTTAAAATTTAAATATATTTAAATAAATATTTAATATTTGATATTTAAATTATATTAAATATTATGTTTTTATATTAATATTTAAATAAATATTTAAATCTTAAATTTAAATATTTTAAATTTAAATGTAAAATATTAAATAAGGAAATAACTCTCATACTTTTACTGAATCACAAGATGAGCACTGGCAACACATGAATAGAAACTGTGTTTTCCATTAAAAAAAAAAAAGCTACGACCGAGTCCCGCCCGTAAAGGCCGGGTGCCGGTGCTGGGCACCCGGGGTGGGGAGTGGCTGACGCCGTGTCGTCACCAGGCCAGCGAGAGACGCGTCCATCCGTCGTGTCACGCCAGGTCCGACAGCAGAGCCCCGACGTCTTGGAGGAACTCGGCTGGGACGGCAGCGGTGGCCAGTGCCCGGGGCCCGTGCCGGGGAGCAGCACCCCCAAGGTGAGGCCCAGCCGGGCACGCCCGCGCTCCTGCGAGGAGCAGCTGCTGGGAAGGCTGCTTGCTCTGACGTGTCCGAGGGTCACCTCTGGACTTTGTCACTTCGACACTGTGACTTGTAAAAGTAATGTCCCAAAGTCCCATCTTCCAGACTTGGTGAGGCCGGGCGCGGTGGCTCACGCCTGTCATCCTAGCACTCTGGGAGGCCGAGGCAGGAGGATCGCTCAAGGTCAGGAGTTCGAGACCAGCCTGAGCAAGAGTGAGACCCTGTCTCTACTAAAAATAGAAAGAAATTAATTGGCCAACTAAAAACATATAGAAAAAATTAGCCGGGCATGGTGGCGCATGCCTGTAGTCCCAGCTATCCGGGAGGTGAGGCAGGAGGATCGCTTGAGCCAGGAGTTTGAGGTTGCTGTGAGCAAGGCTGACGCCATGGCACTTACTCTAGCCAGGGCAACAGAATGAGACTGTGTCTCAAAAAAAAAAAAAAGGAAAGTTCTTTATTTTAAAAATTCAATCCAGGTAGCGTTGCTAAAGAAAAAGAAATGAAAAAAATATTTAAAAAAAATGCAAGGCAAATATGAAATATAAATGTTTTATCGTTCGAGTGATAAATAAACAGATGTCCTTGACATTTTTTAATCAGCTTTGAATTATTTCATCATAAATTTTGTTTTTAAGCATTAGGGAACATTCCAAGGTGTCCAAAGTCGGGAAGCAGGGGCGTGGGGAGGAAAGACAGATGGAAACAGATGATCTCTGTCGTGTCTAACTCTGCTCCTCCCCAGCCACATTTGGGCAACTCCGGGGTGAACTGCCCAGGGGGACGTGGGTTTTTCCATTGCTAACGCGAGTCTCTCGGGGGAGAGAATAAATGGCCGTGGGAGACACGGGTCATATTTGTGGTCCTCCAGTCATTCCGTTGAGTCTCTCGGGGCCCAACTAAACATCTCTTTGCTTGCACAAGCCTGTCTGCTAAGCACTGGGGAAGGTGTGAAAGAGGGCAGTGCAAAAATACAGTTACTTTTTTTTTTTTTTTCTTCTTTTTTTTAATTTTTTTTAATATTTTCTTTTTCCTGAAGAAAGTCAGCAGGTAAGTTACTTTTTTTTGACTTAGAAAAAATTCCTGATATTCACAAATGGTAAGAATTTTTTTTTTACTATTTCTTTTTTTTTTTTTTTTTTTTTTAATTAATTTTTTTTTTTGAGACAGAGTCTCGCTGTGTTGCCCAGGCTACAGTGAGTGCCGTGGCGTCAGCCTAGCTCACTGCAACCTCAATCTCCTGGGCTCAAGCCATCCTCCTGCCTCAGCCTCCCGAGTAGCTAGGACTACAGGCACGCGCCACCATGCCCGGCTAATTTTGTTTTTCTATGTATATTAGTTGGCCAATTAATTTCTTTCTGTTTATAGTAGAGACGGGGTCTCGCTCTTGCTCAGGCTGGTTTCGAACTCCTGACCTCGAGCAGTCCGCCCACCTCGGCCTCCCAGAGTGCTGGGATTACAGGCGTGAGCCACC